GCTCCTCCCCCTCCCCTTTCCTCCCTTCTCCTCCTCCTGCCAAGCCTGAGGAGGAGGAGAGCTTTCTTTGCTCCAGGCTTGAGTGTCATCTTCTGTCGAAGGCTCATGGCAAGGCTGAGCCAGAACTAGGCCAGCAGCGGCGGGGACAACCGAGCGGTCTCCATGGCAATGCAGCTTGCCACTCCTCCTCCCAGCACTCTCTCTCCCTCTGCCCTCCTCTTCCTCCCCCCTCCCTCCTCTCCTCCTCAGATCGTGCCCCTTGGGACATCACGGGCGGGGGAGGCAGCCATCTGCCCTCCTGCTGGAGCAGGGCACCCGAAACAGCTGCTGTTGCGCCCCTCTGGCATCACTTGGCTCCCTCTGTGAGGCTTCAGTCTCCCCGAGGGGCTCCTTCACTCCATGCCTACCTCGGCAGAGGCAACATGAGGGAGCCACTGGGCAATGGAGTGGAGGAGGAAAAGCCACCTAGAAGACTTGAGGCTTTTGTTTGGCACCCTTGCCGAAGTAAGCACTCAGCCTTTAAGCAACATTCCCTCATCCCTTCCAAAATCTTTAATAGAATAAATTTTATACCCAGCATATTAGATGACCCCCGATTTCTGAGGGGATTTTCCAGGGTTAAAAAGTCATCTTATATGCTAGAAAACACAGTACCATTAACAGGTATATAATGTATAAGCAGGGGGCAGAGCCCCCGGTGGCGCAGTGGGTTAAACCCCTGTGCTGGCAGGACTGAAGACTGACAGGTCGCTGGTTCAAATCCGGGGAGAGGCAGATGGGCTCCCTCTATCAACTCCAGCTCCTCATGCGGGGACATGAGAGAAGCCTCCCACAAGGATGATAAAAAAAAAACATCAAATCATCCGGGCGTCCCCTGGGCAACATCCTTGGAGACAGCCAATTCTCTCACACCAGAAGTGACTTGCAGTTTCTCAAGTCGCTCTTGACACGACCCAAAAAAAAAAGAAAAGCAGGGGGCGTGTTTTACTTATCTTTCAAAATTCTTGTTTGTTGTTAAAATGATTTCAAAATGTGGTGAACTTTAATTGTTTTTAAGTTTTATTGAACATGTTTCTAATACTGCTTTGGATCCCATACTGGAAGAAAAGTGGCACACAAATGAAATACATAGATGCCCTCCCATGAAGATCCTAAAACTTGGTAGATAGTCTGAGTTCAAGATATACGGTGATTTACAGATCATAACCAGTACTTTGAATTTAGTCCAGAAATGGATCAGTAAGGAGCCAGTGAAGCTGTTTCAACAAGGAAGTTCTATGTCCCCTGTAAGCAACCCCAATCAGCAGTCCGACTCCAGCATTTTGGGCATAATGCCATTTCCAAAACTTTCCATAAGCAAATCCAAAAGTGTATGACATAATCTAAAAGTATTTATCAATGGAGCTCAATCTGCTTTCTCAATAACAGCTGGTGCACTATGTTTAGCTGGATAAATCATCATCATCTTAATTATCATCATCATCTTCATTTATATCCTGCCACCATCTCCCAAAAGGGATCTGGTGTGGCTTACAAGGCACGACAAGTGTAGTTTATAACAAACGGTTCATGAGTATAAAAACAATATTACATAAAATTTATAAAAACAACCACTATCAACACATAAAATAAAAACACAGTTTAATGTGCAGATCATCTGTAAGTAAAACTTCGTTGTTGTTCATTCATTCAGTTGTTTCCGACTCTTCGTGACCTCATGGACCAGCCCATGCCAAAGCTCCCTGTAGGCCGTCATCACCCCCAGCTCCTTCAAGGTCAATCCAGTCACTTCAAGGATCCCATCCATCCATCTTGCCCTTGGTCGACCCCTCTTCCTTTTTCCTTCCATTTTCCCCAGCATAATTGTCTTCTCTAAACTTTCCTTTCTTCTCATGATGTGGCCAAAATACTTCATCTTTGCCTCTACTATCCTTCCCTCCAGTGAGTAGTTGTTCTTAATTTCCTGAAGTATGGACTGGTTGGATCTTCTGGCGGTCCAAGGCACTCTCAGAACTTTCCTCCAACACGACAGTTCAAAAGCATCTATCTTCTTTCGCTCAGCCTTCCCTATGGTCCAGTTCTCACATCTGTAGGTGACTATGGGGAATACCATTGCTTTAACTATGCGGATTTTAGGTAAAACTAGCTGCCTTCAAATCACAACTAAAGTGCCAAAATGTCAATCTCATATGGACCCATTTCAGCCTACTCGAGGCCAAAAGCCTGCTTAAAAATCCATGTTTTTAGGCTGGATCGGAAGGACTCAAGGGTAGTGGCTAACCTAATGTCTTTTGGAAGGGTATTCCAGAGCCAGGGAGCCACTACATAGAAGGCCCTCTCTCTCGTCCCCACCAACTGTGATTGAGACAGTGGCAGAATCGAGAGAAGAGCCTCCTCTGCTGATCTCAAAGCCCGCGCATTCCTGACCAGCACAATCCTGCATTCCATAAATGCATTCCTGGCTGCTAAACCTGGGCTGAAATCTGAATCCAGGAGTACACCCATGTTGGGAACATGAGGTTGCATTCAGACACAGACTGAATCCTGATCCCTTGATTGATCCCTTTTGACTGACCAAAAGCTACTTTGTCCTGTTGTGGTCCAACAACACCTAGAAGATCACAGGTTCCTTAATCATGCATGCTATAAAGTACAGGCACATACATGTGCTTACCTTACAATTGTCCAGAATGTAACGGCCTTTATTCCCCACTAGTCCTCCAAAAACATTCAAGACCGTCCGATCCGTAATTGTACCAGGTTGGTACAGTCCAACTGGAGCATACTGGAGTGCAGGAGGCAAAGAAATAGGCTGTTAATATCTATAACTATGAAAACAGCATGAGAATATCAGGAGTTATCTGCTTCTGAAATTGTTATATGGTATGATTATTTGTCTATGCAGTCCAATACTGTCTCCTCTAACAGTGACTTCTCCAGAGAATCTGGCACATGGCTTTCATGTTACCTACTATCTTAACTTTTTATCTGGTGATATCTAAGATTGAAGCTGGACCTCTTTATGTCAAACATGTGCTGTTCCATGAAGCGATGAGTATTCTCATATTTCACAGTGTAATTGATTCATGAAGTTGAAGACATTTTCCCTCAAAGCTTTAAATGGAACAAAACAATACATTTCACTGACTTCTTCTGAACTCAAGCACTATGATGAACAGTTGAGTTTCATGGATGTTTTTAAACAGAAGATGGAACTAGCTGATCATAAAGTATTTTATGGAATTGCATTTTCAATCACTAAGAATTAAAAAACTGAAAACTGAGAAAGGGCAATAACACTCCGTCCAAGCTTTTTTCCCCTTGTTTTCCTAGAAAGGCATATCATTTAACATGGAAGGCTAAATTGTACTAATATATGGGATGTCCCAAAACAGTATACACTTTAAAAACTATTGGAAGCTATGGTGATTATTTGAAGACTAAGTAAATATACTTACATTTAAGAATATATGTTATAATAATGATCTGAACTCAATCACAAATTCTATCTTAAATTACAAGTTTATGTTCAAATTGTCGTCCCTGTACAGCAATGTACCACTCTCATTGTCAATGCATACAGCTGCAAAACTCACTTAAAGTTTCAGGATGCTTATCTACTGTTGTAATCAATAATCTTGTTAAGAGCATATACATTTTTGGGGATATATCTATATTAAAATTCTTCAACAAATATTATATATATTGGTCAATTATAATGCTCTTAAGGTACACATTTCATGTAACTACCATTCTTTCTTTGTTTCATTTTAGAGCAGTACTGAACTGAAAGGATCCACTGTCTGACTTAAATCCTTAAAGCTCATCAATATTTTATTTGGATTAAGGAATCAAAAATTTGATGGATTGCATCCAAAATATTCCAAGCATCTTGATTACTAAACAAATTTTAGTCTGTAAACACCCTTTTACAGTCAGAGAAAGATATAGGAATGCTTACTTTTGGTAGCTTCTGCCTATTGAGAAACAGAGGTATAGTATCCCGACCTGAGTTCATTGGTATCACTTCTTTTACTTCAATGGTATCATCAGACAAAAAATAATGTAGCACCATTTCTCGTGCATCCCCAAACATAGTTTCTGTGTCATCCCAAATACCATAAAAGCGTAAAACATGTCCATCATGCTCCAAAAACTGTCGAAGTGTGTCAAAGCGTTCGTATGGACGCAAAGGTGTCATACTGTCTATCAACTGGAGGTAAAAACAAAAAAAGAATTATTTCTCAAATTTCTGCTGCCTAACTACAGCAAACTCTAAAAGAATCAAATCTTATTTGCATGACAATCTTAGCTTTTTAAAGTTTTTAAATTACACAGTATATCTTTACGTCAGGTTAAATAATGAGTAATATACAGGTTCTAATGACTGTATTAGAAAAAACCCTTTTGGCCTTAAATCATTAGAAAAAACCCTTTTGGCCTTAAATCATGCTAGAAAGAATATGGAAAAATTGCCCCTCATGTCCTCTACAGGGCATGAGGGGTCTTTTCCAGATTTTTAAAAAATTTACAGTGAGGGAGGGAGGAATCACCCTCCTGGGTCCATTAGAGGCAGGTTAGTCACCTTCCCAGCTCTAGGAACCTTCCCAGCTCTAGGAACGATGAGAATCTCTGCTTTAAATAAAACCAGGATTCAATTTAACTATAACCATGAATATCCATATTCTGTTGTCCCTTGTGGTGAGCCACTCAGGAATTTCAGTAAAATAGGGCACATTTCAAAAGAATTATAGCAAATGACACAAAGGTTTAATGTAAGCACAGATTTGAATAATGGTTTCATTTTCACAACAAGAAAAAATTGAAAACCCTTTTTTTTTACTTTTTTTCCCCGACTTTTTATTTTTACAATACAGAAAATACATACCTTGCACACACAAAACATTTACAATTCCCACCACCAACATGAGGATTATTATCTTTCACATATTCATTTCTTTTTGAGACAATCATTATTTCTTTATCTTTATACATTTCCATCCTGTATGCTATATAGCATTTGTATCTTATTTCTTATGACCTGATCTCCAGAATGATTCATAATATAGTTCATTACCCTTGTCCATCTATCTTCCATTTCTCTCATTCGATTTTCATTGATTTTTAAATCATTTAATTTCACATTCATAATTTCAAATTCCATTTGCTCCACCATATAATGGTACCATTTATTTATTGTCCATTTTGATTTATCTTTCCACCCTAATACTATTACTGCTTGTGCACATTCAATTATTGCTTCTTTTATTTCCCTTTTATTTCCCATTTCCTCTCTTTTCCCTAATACCGCTAATTCCTTTGTTATGACCCACTCATTTCCTAATATTTGATTTGACACATTTTGTATAGTCTGCCAAAAATCTTGTACATATTCACATTCCCACATCATGTGCATAAAGTGCCCTTTCTGGTGGCATCCATGCCAGCACTGACTACTCCCCTCTTTATAGTAGTATGCTAATTGGCAGGGTGTGCGATACCATTTGTGCAATATTTTCCTCCTCGTTTCTCGTACTTTAGTATTCCTTTCCATCCCTATTATCTCTACCACATTTCTCATTTCTTGTTCCGAGATTTGTAACTCCGTTTCCCACATAGTTTTCAAGTCCTGTATTGTACATCCATCGGCCTCTATTAGCATTGTATATATTTTGCTGGCCTGTGCCTTCTTTCCTTCCCCTTTTTCTCTTATTATCTTTTCAAAGGCGGTATCTTCTCTCTTAACCATATTGATATTTTCTTTTGTTTTGCAATATGCACAGATTGCTCTTATCTGTAACCAGTTTTCTTGCCCAAGCCATTGTTTAATTTTATTCTCCCTTACCTTTCCCTCTCTGTCATATAATTCAATTTATAAAATTGAAAACCCCACCTTTATTAACAGTAACAATTATTAAAATTAAGGATTTGCAAAGCTATCCATACAAAGCAAAACAATTACTTTTTTATCGTATCAGAAGTGAACTGAGGGTATAGTTGTAATGTATTTAAAAACACAACGTTTAAAAGCTTGGCATTATACTAAATGTCCTTTGACCAGTAGCTGGCCAACTGGAGTGCCTCTGGTGCTGCTATAAGAAGGTCCTCCATTGTGCATGTGGCAGGGCTCAGATTGCACTGTAATAGGTGGTCAGTTGGTTTGCTCTTCTCCACACTCGCACGTTGTGGACTCCACTTTGTGACCCCATTTCTTAAGGTTGGCTCTGCATTTCATGGTGCCGGAGCGCAGTCTGTTCAGTGCCTCCCAAGTTGCCCAGTCTTCTGTGTGCCCAGGATCGAGTCTCTCCTCCAGTATCAGCCATGGATTGAAGTTCCAGGTTATAGCCTGCCACATTTGGACTCTCGCTTGCTGAGGTGTTCCTGTGAATATCTCTGTAGATCTTAGAAAACTATTTCTTGATTTGAGGCATTGGCATGCTGGCTGATAGCCAAACAGGGGATGGGCCAAAGATGTCACTGCCTTGGTCCTTTCATTATTGGCTACTACTTCCCAACAGATGTCAGGTGGTGCAATACCAGCCAAATAGTGTAATTTCTCCAGTGGTGTAGGGTGTAGACATCCTGTGATAATGCAGCATGTCTCATTAAGAGCCACATCCACTGTTTTAACTGAGTGTGTGTGCTTAGCAGCAGTGTAGCAAAGCGCAAGGGCAAAGGTCTTCACTATCTGGTTGTGATACCCAGGTTGTGCCAGTCAGCTGTTGTATGATATTATTTCTAGCACTCACTTTTTGCTTGATATTCAAGCAGTGCTTCTTGTAGGTCAGAGCATGGTCCAGGGTAACTCCAAGGTATTTGGGTGTGCTGCTATGCTCCAGTGGGATTCCTTCCCAGGTAATCTTCAGAGCTCAAGATGTTTGTCTGTTCTTAAGATGAAAAGCACCCATCTGTGTTTTAGATTAGTTAGGAATCAGCTGGTTTTCCCTGTAATAGGTAGTAAGAGCATCTAAAGCTTCAGAGAGCGCGTGTTCAACCATTTCAAAGCTTCCCGCTTGGGCAGTGATAGCACGATCATCAGCAAAGATGAAACTCTCTGTCTCTTCTGGCAGTGGCTGATCATTTGTGTAAATTTTAAATACTGATGGAGCAAGCATGCTCCCCTGAGGCAGGCCATTCTTCTGTTTTTGCAATCTGCTCCTATGGTCCTGGAATTCAACAAAAAAGCTCCTGTTTTGTAAAAGATTTCCTATGAAGCGTGTGAGGTGGTAGTCCAAAAACTTGCAGCATGCAACCAAAACAAATAATACATCTCTATTATAAGAAAGGATCTTTCTATACCTAAAAATTGAAAAAAATGTGTGTCAATACCAACAATCCTCTAGTTATCTTATATGACTGTCACACTTTAGTTTTTCTACATGTAATCATTTGTGGAACATAGGGAGGTGGGGACCTGACAAAGAGAAGATAGCTTTAATTCTCAGATCACTGATACCTGAACCAGACTTAAACCTAACCATGCAGTTCTTCTAGTTTCAAAATGCATATTCTAATGGTACTTTAAAATTATTCCTTTGTTATATCAGGCCTGTTAAATAAGATTTAGAATTGAACCAAGTGGTGGCTATAAATGAGAGCAAAAAAAAAGTGAAAAGGATCAGAGATATAGAAGCAAATCAAATAAATAAATATGGAAAAGGGATGACTTTGCAATATGTCTTCTGTGAGAGAAAACAAGCATATGATGAAGAGACCTGAGAAATGCAAGAGATAAGAACAAGGAAAATTAATTCATGTGAGCAAGGGATGGGGAGAGATTGAGAAAAATGTAGATGTGATCACAACTGGAACAATGCAACAGTGAGATTAACAAGCTATGGAACAACATGTTCAGAGAACCTTGAATTGGTGCAAGAGATATCAAAGGCTTGGCTTACATTTTACCAAGTACAGCCAGTTCCCAACTTACGAACAACATGGGTTCTGTAGGTTTGTTCTTTAGCTGAATTTGTATTTAAGTATGAACAGGTACATTTTTAAAGTGTAACTCAAGATAGATAGATAGATAGATAGATAGATAGATCGATAGATAAAAAGCTTTGGGAAGCATAGGGAAGGGTTAACACCCCTGTGGTGTTTGTTTTGCTTTCTGTGCCCCTGTTCAGAAGATTTCACCTCACTTTCTGCACCCTGTGATCATTGGATTTTTTTTAAATGGCTTGTTGTGGAAACAAGGACAGTTGATAAAGGTTCAGTTGCACCACCTTGTCCTCATGATAACTCTTTCAGGAGTGAATTTTTCTCACTTCCTGTTTTTTCACCCCTTCCTGTAACTTTGATTCATTTGTAAGATGGATGTTTGTAACTTGGGGACCGCCTGTATAGAAAATAAATACCAATGGTTATATCCACAGATATATAGCTTCCTCGACCATGGTTATATGCAGTTCAAGTAAATATACCTCTCATTTCATCCTCTCCAAACCACAAATCATGGATAACTTGGGGTAATTGACACATTCATTTAATGAAATAAGACTAAGAAACAGATTTAGCCAATGTTGGTTTAATTTTGAAGCAGAATTATTATTTGATTCAGATTCTATTTTCCCTCTTATTTCACATTGTCTTGAACTATAGTACTGAGACAAAACAGCATCACAGAAATTGATACTTGGGGCACATCTAACTGACCACTTACATCGGTTTCAAATTGGTATTGAAGAAAATGGTTTCACTGTGATTACATATGAAATCCTAGAACCAGTTTACACAAACCACAGAGCACTGATGCACATTAAGGGATTTCTTTCAGGAGCTTTCCTAGAAGTCTGTTGTTTGGCCAGTGCAGTTTGAAGCTAGCTTCGAATTGCATTAAATGGTCAGTGTAGATGGGGCCTAAATGAAAGTTACAATAGTACAGCTATACTTAACAGAAGACAACTATGGTAAAAGTTGCTACTTAAAAGGTTGTAGTGATATTTACTTGCCTCCAAGGAGTATTGCAAATAATTATAATAGTTCTACAATGATTCAGATTACTGCTACAGTTTTAATGAATGACACTGAGAAGTTTCAATGAAATACAAACTTAAGTTTAACCCAGGTCAAGAATGTCCATTTAACTGATTTTAGCTAATCTCTCCCCGATGTATCTCTCATTTTTTTCTCAGAAACAAACTTGCTGGGAAACATTACAAGACAATAAAAAGACTGACAAAACATTTAGGCTGGATCTACACTGCGCTATGTCTCAGGATCTAATCCCAGATTATCTGCTTTGAACTGGATTATATGAGTATCCACTGCCAGATAATCTGGGATAAGCAGATACTCTAGGATCAGATCCTGGGATATAGGGCAGTGTAGATCCAGCCATAGTTAGATAAGTGGGGAAAGCCTACTCATCTTTCTTTCATCATACTTCTTTTGGGACTTTGCTTCCTGCATCCTTCCTTCTTGTTTTTTCTTCAGCTTATGTCTTCGTACTCATGGTCTAATAATCCATTGTCTTCCCTTCCATTGTATTTCCCTTAATTTCACTTCTTTTCCCCAGATAACTGAAGTTCAGGCTCATCCCCATCATAAGACTCCCCCTTCCTTAACCTCTTCAATGGAAGTCTATTTTTAGCCATAGCATAGAATTCTTTCTCATTCTCTCTAATCTATTCTGTTATTTCATCCACCTAATTTGCAACTTGTTTTCTACTCCCCTTCCAATGTTTTCTTTTTCTATCCCACCCTTTAACTGTTTTTGTTTTGTTAAGAGAAATAAAACTCTTCCTCCCATTCGTTATGAGATCTCGCAGCATATCTTTTTCAGCATCCTCCTTTTCCTTCTAGTCTCTTCTATGCCAGTATCTTTAGCTCCATCCAGCTTTCCCTCAGATTCCTACTTGTAAGCTTTCTATTATGCCTTCTTTATTTCAGCCACTTTCCTTCTATTCCATTTTTCAGTTTCAATTATCAACTTCTTGTGCCTTTTTACACTAAATGTTCCAATCTTCAACCATCCTGCCTTTCTAGAACTTTAATAATAATAATAATAATAATAATAATAATAATAATAATAATAATAATTTTATTTCTCTCCTCATGGTGGGTTACAGAATATATTACTTATGCCGTGGCTCTGTTAACAACCGAGAATTTCTCCACTACCGATGACCTGAAAAATGTAGATTGTTTGCGCCCAGCTTTCATCCCTTTATCAGCTCAAACATATTATCATCTAAATATTTATTTACATTACAAGCATATACTTTGTCATGGATCACTGTCAACAGTGAGCAAACAAACATTAATCATCAATCCACCATTAGGTTGGGTTTTTAAAGAATTCTCCTCTTTCATAAAAGGCTTAAACATTTCCCTTCTTCACTTCTACTGGTATATATAGGAACATGCAAAAGGATACTTATTTACCAGTGAGTCACATTTAGTGATGAATTAATCAAAATTTGTATCCTTCAAATGCAACAATCAGTACACAAAACTCTTTCTGCAAAGGTCTGGGGAGTTTAACACAGAGGAGACATTGACGATAAATCAGTTGAAAATCTCAAAGAGATGCAAAAATAACATGCAGATGTAATATATGTCTTTTTCCAGAGCAGTAAAATAACTACTGTTACAACTGTAACGGATCATACTGCTTTTTCTGGGAGATTAACATTGTTTTTATGGTGCTTTATATCATTTTGCATGCCATGTTCCTGGCAGAGAATGTTTTATTTCCATTATAAATAAATTTGAAGGGAAAGACATTTCATACTATTAGCACACTCCTATACACCCTCTGCACTCTGAAGTCACACTATGCTCAAAAGAGCTTGGTCTCTGTTGGTATACACAGGACTGCACTATTATGATGCATGTAAAGCATTTTCTTTTCTACTTGTCCGGTACTGGTTTTCAATGAATTTCTAGTCAATATTATGCACATATTACTATCTACAGCGGACACACACAAAAATTTGGTAGATAGGTGAGTTGAAAGCATCAATTTTACACTAATGGTAAACAGAAGAAAATGCAACTGCAAATTGTGTAACAATTTGTGTACAATTCTAAAATATATTCATCTGCTCATCCATGTTTTCGCCTACCTTAGTGGTAAAATGTAATCTAAT